CCAACATACTACAAAAAAAAAAAAATTATAAACTCATTACACTCACATTTTCAAGCAATAATTATACATTTTGAAAGCCTAGAAGGCTGTCATTGATTTACATTCTTTGTAAATCTCTTTACTATCTGGTTTAATAAAAGTCAGCTGAGTTTTAATAGCTGTTTTAGAAAACAATCTGTTACAAGAGGGTTTAGTTAAGGCATGTGAAGAAATCTGGTCTCACAGGTACAGTTTAAAAAAGAGGAATCTGGGACTGGAGAGATGGCTCAGCAGTTAAGAGCACTGGCTGCTCTTGTAGAGGACCCACGTTCAATTCCCAGTACCCACATGACAGCTAAGAACCATCTGTAACTCCAGTTGCAGCAGATCCAACGCCCTTTCTGACCTCCGTGGGTACTGTATAATACAGGTACACTTACACATATGCAGGCAATACATCCATATACATAAAATTAAATAAATAAATAAAATATTTTTAAATATAAATAAATAAACAAGAGGAATCTTTTCATAGTCTTTTATATAACTGGTAAAATTGTTCTTTGATATACCAGACATAAAAACAATAGTTTTAAGGAATAATCAGACTATGAATTCTAAAGCCATATTTATTTCATGCTTTATTAAAAACCCAGTGTTAATAGTATGCTCTCTGAATAAAACTGCCTGTGCTTAATTTTGTAACATACATTGGCTTACTGAACTAAGCTTTACTTCTTATGACTCACCAATTTCATTATACAAGATTTAAAAAAAACCCACCTCACAATGGCACCTGATTTCTTCCCATATCAGAAAAACATTTAAAAATCACAAAGCTCTCAAGCTCACAGTGGCTTTCTAAAATTTTAAAATTTTAATTATTGCTTGCAAACTTGACTGTTATAATTGACATCAAATACAGCTAATCATTTTCTTTGCAGTGACATGCTCACTTTGTTCTTTTTTCCCCCAGAAAAATCCTTGCCAAATACCCAAGTCTGAATAACCATAGTCTGTCAGTCTTTCTTTGACACAGAGGCAACATCTGTATTTCACAAAGCATCTGAAGTCCTTTAAGCTCACTTCTCATTTCACCACACACAAGATCGAAAAAAGGCACAAATTGTTATTAAAGGAATGAAAACTTTTGTTATTCTACCAGGTATTAAGTGAAGCCACATTTTTAACTTGTAGAATATAATGGGTAAAAGTCTCCTATCAGCCTTGCGTGCTGATATCGCCTGGGTTTCTAATGAGGCACTGTCAGCCGCACTTACCACTAATTTCTAGCTATTCATGTGCATGTCAATGCAATGAATAGTAATGATTCAAAGAATGATTATGAAATAATTTTATTCCACAGGCTCCTACAAGGAGCCCAGGGATCAATCCTAAGAGTGCCTGGACCAGACTTTGAGAACAGGGCTTAACACAGAGTACATCTCCAGATTCTCTACTTCCAACTTTCCTTAAAGTCCCTCAAAATATATCTCCTAGACAGATCATTATGAACAGGTTTTGTTGTAATAATTTGTATTCACCAACATATATGCTTACGTTTTCAGAAATTCCTTATAATGCTTTTAGAGATAGAGATTTTCAGAATCTAGATTTTTCCCAAACTTACTGTGGTTATTCCTTTGATATTTTAAAATCTGAGCAGTCCCAGTTCTTTTTTTTTTTTTGTCTTTTTGAGACAGGGTCTCCCTGTATCCCCAGCTGTCCTGGAACTCACTATGTAGACCAGGCTGGCCTTGAACTCACAGAGACCCACCTGCCTCTGCCTCCCGAGTGCTGGGATTAAAGGCATGCGCCACCACGCCCAGCCGTCAGTTCTTAAAGAGTTCTAGAGTGATATTGAAGTAATAGCATAAAATAAAATTAATGATATACTACGAGTGGAAAAGAGGCATGTTACATTAGCATCTCCTTTTGGAATGTTAAAATTTAATGTATTTGTGGAAAAAAGTAAAATAGCAGTTTCTCCATGAATTAGGTTTTCTTTACCCAGGCAGTGCTGCAGCCACCTTGTCCTTCATGTTGCTCTCAAAGCATGGCATCTAAGAATGGCCAGTCTTCAACTGGTAACAGGTTATGGAGATGAGGAGACTCTTCCCACAGCAGTATCAAGAGTGTCACTGGGAATGGCCCAGAATGAGAGCCTCTTCCTAACTCTGCTGAGAAGTCTCAGAAGTCAAGCAACTGCAGGGCAAGCTCTACCAAACTCTGAACCACCACCAGATTTTGCAGAGCACCAGGGCACAAAGCCATGTACAAAAGATACTGAAGGAAGGCCCCGGCTCCCCACCCACTAGTCAGGAGAGACTGCAAGACAACCTTCAGATTTCTCCTGATGATATGTGCTGTCCTGTTCCAGCACCTTCAGAAAGGAAAGAAGCAATTCACATCGATGAAAGAAAGGATGAGTTGGAAGAAGAAGAACTGCAAGAACTATGGCCCAAACTCCTGGATGCCTTCAATCTAGAAATGCCATCAGGTAAGGTTTTCATAGCCAAAAGACAGTGATAGCCAGGGACTGGGCTGCTTATTTGAACACTGAACTTTATAACATTACTCAGCCTCTGAATTCAATTCCTGCTATTGGCTAATTCATAAGATTACCATGAGTGTTGAAGTCTATAAACCATGCAAGACTTTAATATAGCACCTGGCACATAGTAAACATTAAGTAAATATTTATTATTTACATAGTGCTGTCATTATTAGTAGCCTTAAAATCATGTATAACTATGTAGCCTCATACCACCATTTTTAAATGGGAATGATAATAACACTGCAGTCTTTCTAAAGAGTAGCTGATTAAGGTTTCTCTGTTGTACACAGCACCACCATTACCACTTCTTCATCAACTATAATTCATTGCTAAGTTATGAAGGTCTTAGATCCACTAGTAAATCTGTTTTGGAGTAACATTGTCTTATCTCTATTTAGGACACACACACACATGCACACATATGCACACACATATGCATATATATATATGAAGTTCTTCACCTTCCCTGAAAAGAAATTTAAATTTTTCACTTTGAAAATATATATTTCCTTTTGAGAAAGGCTAAGAGTGTTTATATTAGAGATGTGTTATTCATCTGGAGACCTGTGGAGAAAGATAGCACTGTCATGTGTTTCTGCACCAGAAGAGGCTGTCTCAAGTGTTGATATAGTAGCTTTGTAGGGATATAATAAAGCATCACAGAGGAGGTGACCTGAACAAAAAAGGAAAAAAAGGAAGAAAAATGGAAGCACAAAATGGAAAACAAAAGGAAAGGAAAGAGGGAAAGAGAGGGGAAGGGAGGGAAAAGAAAGTATAGTTTTCTCTGTCTTAGAGCTACAAGTCCAAGCTCAATGTGTCAACAGCATTGGTTTCTTCTGAGGCTCTTCCCTTGGTTCATTGATCACTATCTCCTAGCTGTGTCTGCATGGCCTTCCCTCTGTGTATGTTTATATCCAAATTTCTCTTCTCCTAGAGACACTAGAAATATTTGAATAGGGCTCATCCTAATTACCTCATTTTAACTTAACAATGTCTTTAAATACCCTGTCTCCAGGGAGCTGTAGAGTTGGCTCAGTGGTTAAGAGCACTGACTGCTCTTACAGAGGACCCAGGTTCAATTTCCAGCACCCACATGGCGACAAACAACCATCCCTAACACCAATTCCAGGGGATCCGATACCTTCTTCTGACCTCCACAGGCATTGCATGACACGAATGCACTTATACACATACAGGCAATACACTCATACACATAGAATAAAAATAAGGAGAGGAAAAAAAAAGACCCTCTCTGCAAACATAGTCACAGTCTGGGGTACTTGGATTAAGTTTTTAGTATTCAAACATGGGAATGTAAGGGTACAGTTCAGCCCATGACAGTTGGAGAGTTATAAATTGGACACATAATGTCAGCTTTACACATAACTTGGTAGAGTCAGATCATTGAAATAGAAAGTTTTATAGTAAATGGAATTGGAGCTAGAGTCTTAGTATGAAAGCAAATGATTTCACAGAGATGTCATAGGCATTGCACAAAGACAGAATGGAAACACCTTATGCCTGATTCCTAAACCAACACAATATTCTGTGCACTTCCATCTAAGCATCTTTGAGGTCATGATGAGTATTCAAAGCAAAGTCAATATCTACTTGACCTTTTTAGGAAAACTTGACAATTGAACTTTATGAAAAAGTTTTTTAGTCTTTGACATTTTTATCTTGCTTTTATGTTTTGTTTTGGTTTTCCAAATCAGTTGATAAAAGTTTCTGACTCCTAAAACATTTTATTGCGTCAGTCAGCCCTCACAAATGTGGTCATTACAATATACATTTCAGATTTCCCACAGCCTAGATCTACTGGTCATATCGCAGAGGCTCTATCTCAATATTTGTCCAGATTAATATCTAAAGATAAAGGATTGACATATGTTTAAGTGACTTTATCAAGTTATCTGTATGTATAAGTATATTTATATGCCTTTATACATGCATCATTATATCATTAAAAGAAAAATTATAAAAGGGTAAAGGGTATTTCTAAATCTAATCTTCTAGAAAATATTTTTAAAGTCTCAAACTTTCACTTGTCTTACAGTCTCAGTAGAACCTTTAAGATATTTTCATAGGAGATATGCATTATTATAAATATGTTCTCATGATTCAAAACATTAAATTTGTGTATGTGGTGTGTACACACGTGTGATGGTGCATGCACCTGCACATACTCATGGAGGCCAGAGGAGAACATTGGGTGTCCTGTTCTATCACTTTTCACCTCATTCCTTTGAGGCAGGGTCCCTCACTGAACCTGGAGTTAGGGTGGCAGCCAACCATCCCCAGCAATACTCTTGTCTGCACACCCACAGTGCTCACACCTGTGAGGCTGTACCCAACTTTTTGTGTTGGTGCCAGGGATTTGAACTCAGGTCCTCATGCTGTGTAGCAAGTGTCCTTACTCAGTGAGCCATCTCCTCAGCCTCTGCCCCAATGCTTAGGACTTAAATTTATTGTATTTTATGTTAGTCATATTTCTTTGAGTCACTTAAGCAAAAAAGCATGATGATCTATATAAACTACATGGCTACTATTTTTCGTTATATATTGCCTCACTACAATATTTCTAATTAAGGGTTTGTTTCTTTGTTTTGAGACAGGGTCTTATGTAGCCCAGGCCAACCTAAACTTGCTTTGTAGTCAAGGATGATCTTGAACTTCTGATTTTCCTGCTTCCACTTTCTGAGTGCTAGGATTAGAGGTGTATGCTGCCATGCCCAATTTATACAGTGATAGGAATCAACTTAGGGCATTGGTGCAAGCACTGTAACCACTGAGTTACATCCCCAGCTCTCTAAGTTTTTGTCATTATTCAATCTGGTATGGGTATTATCTTATTTTCAAACTCCATTAAACCATTGGTAATATGGATTATATAAAAATATACTCCATACTTGAACATTATCTATGCCTGCTTGCCAGAATTACACTGAAGTCAATCAGAGGCAGAAGCAGGATGACCACATTGATGAACATGTGGAAAATGAACCACACAAGATAAATCACTGGTGTTTTGTGCCAACTTCTGTCCTCATGGAAGCATCAGGTAACAGCAAGCAGGGTCTCATCACTTTGCTGTCCCACTTTTCTTAGAGATTTATTGAGAAAATTAGAAATACCTACTATTTGCATCTAATAGCCTAAAATTTACTCAGTCAGAAGGTCAATACAGTCACCTAGTGTGGCAATTACCCTAGTAGTTAACTGCCCTTGTAGATTACAGTTTTGTTAGGAAACCACCACATTTTGTAAATGAAAATGCACTTTATACTACTTAAAAGCTTAATAAGATTGAAACAGTAAACTTAGTGATCATTTTCACTTAAACTGAATAGAATCATTCAGTATCAAGATCTAAGATAATGAGATTTCCAGAGGCTATGAAAGCTTAATAAAATAGAGAGAGCTGCATACAAGGAGATCCCAAAACCTTTTTAAACTCTGATTATTGAAAGCTAGTAGCGAAAAAAAATTAGGTTAAAACTTTCAGAAAAGAAATAAGATTTGAGAAAGTGTTTCATATTCTTTTCTCCTGTGATAAAACAAATACACCATCCTCTGATTTTATTGTCTCATTAAATTATTCCTTTCTATTTGAGAGTGAAATTCCATGTACATCTTCTAAATTCTTTTCTGTTTCTCTCCCATCTGTTTCGACCTGCATGTGCCACTGTGTGTTTCAGTGGTGAGAAGGGAAGACTGGAGAACTGTGTGGTGGAAGGAGGAGGCCATGGCTGGAGAGCAAAGATGGTAGCTTGGCTAACATGAAAACACATGTCGTAGCTCTTTCCCCACACTCAGTATGAAGCACAGGGGCAAATAAAACACAAATCCCAGGGCCTCACTCTGGAGGAAAGCATTCTGACTGTGTATCCAACACTGTAACTCCTCTGGGGCTATCCAGTTTAATACCTGAAGATAAAGAATAGATGCCTATTTAGGTGATTTTTATCATGTCTGTACATATATTTATATCTATTTATACATGTATCACTGTATCATTAAAGGAAAACCATAAAAGAGTAAAAAGCATTTCTAAATTTAAATATGATAATATATAATATATAATTAGGGTTGCTTTTACAGTCCCAATATTTCACCTCTGCTCCCACTTGCAGTCTCACTGGAACCATCAAGATGCTCTTATAGGAAGTACATGGGCTGGCTTTGTTGTTGTTGGCCGTGGTAGCTTTTTCTTTCTTTTTTTTTTTTTTAAATCACCTGCCTTTCAGTACTGAAAGGATCCATCACATTTTAGGTTCTTGAAGGCTTCTAACAACAAAAAGAGAAGCCTGGACTAATGGGTGGCTGTGAGAAGACCCTAAAATAGCTCATAAGACTATTGCTGAGAATCTTCTGTATAAGAAGACACGCAGCATTTGTGGGTGACTGAATGAGGACTAGGAGAAATGCTTATTTTACTACTGTATAGGTACCAGCACAAAGGTCCAGTCAAAGCAATAAGACAGCGCTCCAGAAATGGATCATCATGAAGTAGAAATGTATGACTCACCCAGAGAATTCTAGATAACAACCGTATAATGCAATGCACATGATAAGAAAACGGAAATCTGAGGAGAAAAAGGTAACCAGCCAGCAGGGCAAAGGGAAAGGGGAGGGCAGTGGGGGAGGGGAGCAAATAGAACAAAGTATGATGCAGGCACATGACGATCCCTATTACTTCGTATGCTTACCTAAATTTAGTTTTAGACTATTTAAAAACCACCAGAAAGTTGCTCAATGAGCTTAGGAGAACAATGAATGAAAAATGAGAACTTCAACAGAGACATAGAAAAGTTTTGGATCAAACAGAAATCTTAGAGCTGAAAAAAACCAAAAAAACAAAATTTCAGTGGAAGGGTTCAGTGGCAAACCAGAATCAAGCAAAAGAAAGAATCATCAAGATCCAAGGGAGGTCTTTGAAATTA